ATTTGGAGACCTAATAAACGCCGATTATACTCGGGGAACTATAGAGAAGCTGCCTTGTATCTGGAGTTAAAGTGTGCTCTTCTTGACTCGTTAGCTTGAATTTTGTTGTGACCATGTCGCCTCGCTCTGATGATGTCCGACATATGAGCACCTTTCCATCGGAATCAAAGAAGATTGCCTCGGAAACAGCGTCAGCATGAATCTTCCAGTAAAGCCAATCGACAGCTGGTGGAACGGACCTTCGAATCTCCTCACCCAACACTTTCACTCGAAATGGAAGTAAGCTCAACAATTATGAAACAAGATATTCCTCGGAACCCAACTTTTCTTCGTACTTTAATTTTATTCTCTGGATTCTAAAGTTAATCCGAAAGTTATTATTTGGAGACCTAATAAACGCCGATTATACTCGGGGAGCTCTAGAGGTAGCTGCCTTGCAACTGGAGTTAAAGTTTACTGACCAGTCAGTCCTGTGTTCGTCTATTTCGTTGACCTGTAACCATAAATGCCCGTGGTTCACGCTTCATGATGGTAGACATGAAATTCGCCTCGTAATTCCTGTTCATTTTTTGAGTGATGTGAAATTGGGTGTCTAAAAGTTGATTGGCAAATTGTATGTTTGACAAGTTGCCCTAATAATAAATTCGGTTTTTCGATGATTGATAGAGCTTTTATCTACCATTATTTTAAAAGAAGACTCGATTTTTCTTTAATATTTACTATGTTGCGCATTCGAGTTATACAGCGTCCAAAATGAAAAAGCTTTCTTTAAACAATATCCTTAATGGACCTAAGCGTCGATAGATAAGCCTGTTTTTGTCATTAAACTATATTCATTACTGAAATGCCAATATTACGCGATCAGCTGCGATTTTAAACAAGTTAATCTTTAAAATTTACTATTTGTCTTATCTTTTGACCCATTCATTTCAGTAATATTCGAACCATTTTTAAATGTATTTTTTTTCGAAGCCACTATTAAGCTAAGATAGTTTTGCCCCTGAATTCCCATTGCTTCTGCTAAAATACCGCTGAGGGTAGTGATGATACCAAATCAATGTAGAGCTTCACTATAATCCAAATGAGAACACAATTTGCATTTTTATTTAAGTAACTTTTTTCTCTTGTAAACGGGCCTTGGAGCTATGACTGTAGATTTGCGCGAATTGGTCCTCTGCCATGTCGATGAACCTCTGCTGAAATTTCGCCCGACATATAACGGACCTCGTCAGGGCAGAACACCATGTTTTACGATAATTCACCAAAACACGAAGACCAGACAAATCTACCAACTTTGTATAGCCTAACTTTGTCCATTCCTCGTCAGATTATTTTAACAAATTTGTACTTATTCTATTTTCTTTATCCTTTTTTCGTCTTTCATTCTCTCTTCTTTTTTCTAGCCCTTTTTCTTTTTTCTTTTTCGTTTTATTCCTCTGTCTATTCCTTACGAATGTCTCGTTTTCAACAATTCCATTAAAGCCTTCTTGTCAACCGGTTTATTTCCACTCTAACTCGCAAAGTCACCATCTCGGGTCGCCTCTTCACATTTGCTCATCACAAGATCCTGGCTACTTTGACTTATCACTTTCATTGGCCTTTTTTCTTGCCCATCTCTTTTTTCCTGCATCCTCGATTCGTTGCGTCTCACTCTCGCTTCTCTTCTTCCTCTCATCTCGCAAGCAGGTACAGGCTGCTAGCAAACTCTAACCCGTTCTCGTATTCACCGACTCACTCGGCCCACAACTCTCTCTCTTCCTTCGCTGACCCCGCCCTGCTCTGCTTTTGGCCTCACCTCAACCGGCCTCTTCCTCGCCCTCTGGCCTCCCACCCGAAGTCACATTAGGCCTTCCATTGCTTGTTGTTAACCGCGCGCCTCATCTCTACCTAACCCCATCGGCTGCGGCAACCATCGCAGCACGAATATCCCTGCCTTGTCCCCTCCTCCTCCCTCCCTTGCCACATGGAGCCATGGAGCCCAATCCCGGCGGGAGCGCGAAAGTCGCCTCTACTCAACTGGGCGTTGGTGACCCCGGACTCGGACTCAGTCTCGGCCGCTGTCGATCATTAAAAAGCAATAAAACATTGGAGCACTGCCGTCATCGCCTTGACCACTCATCCTGAAGGCCAGACAATTGCGTGGCCATGGGGTGGATTCGGACATGCATACATGCATGTTTTCACCTTCACAACGCCCAGCCATATTCATCCAGTCTGTCTATGCATATCCTGTTGTTCACTCAACCAATCAGCTGGCCAAGCCCCTGTCCACAATCCCTATCTACTCATATACCCATCTCCTATTTATGCGTCTATCTATCTATATACATATCTACCCATCAATGTATGTAGGTATGCATAAATATCCATTTATATTTATATTTATCTACCCACTTATATCTATTTATCCGTTTGCTTATCTATCTATTCATAATTTTATCTAGCCATCCAAGAATATATCTGTCTATCCATCCAGCTAACCATCTATATATCTATCTCTCTATCTACCAATCTGTTTATCTCGTTGTTTACTGGTATCTTTGGCCTTTTCAATGCACGCCTCTTGTATGTCTGTCTCTGTATGCGATGCGTCTTTATACACATCGGAAATTCACTCAATTTTTGCAGTTGTGTGATGTCATTGAAGCATGTTTTAGGAGCAAAAATATACTGTATCTCCTTATTCATGTTGGCGAATAAGCCTAATGACAAGCTTTGATTTTCAGCGACCAGGTGACTTATGGGTCGGTACATTACGGACAGATGGATAGTGGCTTTTGCTGGAGCCCGATCACAGGCGCCTCGCGGCCCGGATGTTTCTGAATGGTGGTAACGGGAAATTGAGGCGAATAGTGGGAAATATGTAATATTGGACCAGAAAACATGGTAAATGAATGTTGGAGGGTGAAGAGGCCTCGTCGGAACCAGTTTTTTTTACATATTATGGATTAATGTTCCTGTACCCTTCACTTAATTTAAAAAGTCCTGCGGAAGCGATTCGTAAACTGGACTGACCTAAAAATAAGAGAGAGAGAGTTGTGATTGTTGACATGTGCAAGCAGTCCCTCTGCGACCCGTCGTAGTTGAAAGTGTTGTTCACACAAATAAAAAGTTTTCCCTTGTTCCTCGGTCTCAAGTGGGGCCAACTGATCAATCCCCCCCGCTACGTTTGTAAAGAAACGAAGCTATTGAGTGGATAATTGAAACTAACAGTGGATGCTGCCATAGAGAATTGCGTGAACAGAATTGAACGCGTATTTTTGATCCCATGCGCTGATAGAATAGCGTCGACATTATGGCATCACTTGAAGTTGATAAA